TACTGATCAATATCATCTATAAAGATACAGTGTATACTGATCAATAATCCATAAAGATACAGTGTGTACTGATCAATATCATCCATAAAGATACAGTGTATTCTGATCAATAGTCAATAAAGATACAGTGTATACTGATCAATATCATCCATAAAGATACAGTGTATACTGATCAATATCATCTATAAAGATACAGTGTATACTGATCAATATCATCCATACAGATACAGTGTATACTGATCAATATCATCCATAAAGATACAGTGTATTCTGATCAATAGTCAATAAAGATACAGTGTATACTGATCAATATCATCCATAAAGATACAGTGTATTCTGATCAATAGTCAATAAAGATACAGTGTATACTGATCAATAATCAATAAAGATACAGTGTATTCTGATCAATAATCAATAAAGATACAGTGTATACTGATCAATAATCAATAAAGATACAGTGTATTCTGATCAATAGTCAATAAAGATACAGTGTATACTGATCAATATCATCCATACAGATACAGTGTATACTGATCAATAATCAATAAAGTGGATTCTGATCAGTCTGGTTCTATGTGTTTTTCCTGCAGGAACCTTAAACCAGTTTCTGTTCTGGTTCTGGTGTAGACAACATGAAAATGCAGACCCAGAACCCAGCAGCCTCTCCGGTCCAGATCCAGAAACCTGTGATCCCGAAGGTCCGATACCACCCGAGCATCCAGACCCAGACACCTGGAGCCGGAGCACCAGCCAAAACCAGAACCAGAGTCAGAAACCGTAAGGCGGTCCAGCAGAACCAGGACACTGACAAGCCGACCCCTCACGTTAATCCAACCCCTGCTGTGAGACCAGGTCCTGCTGTGAGACCAGGTCCTGCTGTGAGACCAGATCCTGCTGTGAGACCAGGTCCTCCTGTGAGACCAGGTCCTGCTGTGAGACCAGGTCCTCCTGTGAGACCAGATCCTGCTGTGAGACCAGGTCCTGCTGTGAGACCAGATCCTGCTGTGAGACCAGGTCCTCCTGTTAGACCAGGTCCTGCTGTGAGACCAGGTCCTCCTGTGAGACCAGGTCCTGCTGTGAGACCAGATCCTGCTGTGAGACCAGGTCCTGCTGTGAGACCAGGTCCTGCTGTGAGACCAGGTCCTGATGGGGGACAGAACCAGAGAGCTACTACAGATCCACCTCAGCTCTCTGACAGACCTCCTCCCAGACCACAGCAGTTCCCTCCAGGTCTGGGACTACAGGTGGACCAGTCTGTGGTGGAGGAGGTGGAGGTTCTGACCCGTGGACAGAGTACCAATGAGGACTGGTTCACCTGGAGGAAGAACCGGATCACAGCCTCACTGGTTCACCGGATCGCTCACTGCCGCTTCGTCTACGGCAAGAACAAAACCCCGCCCACCTCCTACCTGGCTGCTGTCACGGGTAGGCCACGCCCCCAATCACCAATTATTACTGTACAAACACAACTTTATTAACACTGTACAAACACACAACTTTATTAACACTGTACAAACACACAACTTTATTAACACTATACAAACACACAACTTTATTAACACTATACAAACACACAACTTTATTAACACTGTACAAACACAACTTTATTATCACTGTACAGACACAACTTTATTAACACTGTACAAACACACAACTTTATTAACACTGTACAAACACACAACTTTATTATCACTGTACAAACACAACTTTATTAACACTGTACAAACACACAACTTTATTATCACTGTACAAACTCACAACTTTATTAACACTGTACAAACACACAACTTTATTAACACTGTACAAACACACAACTTTATTAACACTGTACAAACACACACTTTATTAACACTGTACAAACACACAACTTTATTAACACTGTACAAACACACAACTTTATTAACACTGTACAAACACACAACTTTATTAACACTGTACAAACACAACTTTATTAACACTGTACAAACACAACTTTATTAACACTGTACAAACACAACTTTATTAACACTGTACAAACACACAACTTTATTAACACTGTACAAACACACAACTTTATTAACACTGTACAAACACACAACTTTATTAACACTGTACAAACACACAACTTTATTAACACTGTACAAACACAACTTTATTAACACTGTACAGACACACAACTTTATTAACACTGTACAAACACAACTTTATTAACACTGTACAAACACACAACTTTATTAACACTGTACAAACACACAACTTTATTAACACTGTACAAACACACAACTTTATTAACACTGTACAGACACACAACTTTATTAACACTGTACAAACACAACTTTATTAACACTGTACAAACACACAACTTTATTAACACTGTACAAACACAACTTTATTAACACTGTACAAACACACAACTTTATTAACACTGTACAAACACACAACTTTATTAACACTGTACAAACACACAACTTTATTAACACTGTACAAACACACAACTTTATTAACACTGTACAAACAAACACAACTTTATTAACACTGTACAAACACACAACTTTATTATCACTGTACAAACACAACTTTATTAACACTGTACAAACACAACTTTATTAACACTGTACAAACACAACTTTATTAACACTGTACAAACACAACTTTATTAACACTGTACAAACACAACTTTATTAACACTGTACAAACACACAACTTTATTAACACTGTACAAACACACAACTTTATTAACACTGTGCAAACACACAACTTTATTAACACTGTACACACACACAACTTTATTAACACTGTACAAACACACAACTTTATTAACATTGTACAAACACACAACTTTATTAACACTGTACAAAGACACAACTTTATTAACACTGTACAAAGACACAACTTTATTAACACTGTACAAACACAACTTTATTAACACTGTACAAACACACAACTTTATTAACACTGTACAAACACACAACTTTTGCTGTACAGAAACCAAACAACTAATCGATTAATGGATAATAAAAATAAACATTGTCATTATTAGCATGCTAACATGCTAATGTTGAGCAGGTGTAATATAAACTCACTCTGAATGAGCAGGTGAGGGTCAGAGGGTCCAGACCAGAGCCATGAGCTGGGGGATTCAAATGGAGGCCGAGGTGGTCCGCAAGTATGAGGTACAGGAGACACTGAATCATAGCACTCTTTATTAACTGAGGATGATGATGGTGATGATGATGGTGATGATGTCGTCCTCCAGAGACTGAAGAGTGCTGCGCTGGGTCGGTCAGTCTCGGTTCAGGATTGCGGTCTGTTCATTGACGCTCAGCGGTCCTGGTTGGCTGCGAGTCCTGATGGCATTGTGACGGACAGCCGGACCGGCCAACGGCTGCTGTGCCTGGAGGTGAAGTGTCCCTACAAACACAGACACAGACGAGTGGAGGACGCCTGCAGGGACGACGCTGCCTTCTGTCTGGAAATACAGGGAGAGGACGGACGGCAGCCCGGAAAGGTAAACACATCACATTTCACCATCTGGAAATATCTGTCCCCCTCTTAATGTCCCATCCTGTCTTCAACATGTCCCAGATTAATATGTGCCAAAAGAAACAAAAAATTACCTCTGACCTGCATCTACAGCACTGACATCTGCCCTGTATCTATAGCACTGAGCTCTGCCCTGTATCTACAGCACTGACATCTGCCCTGTATCTATAGCACTGAGCTCTGCCCTGCATCTACAGCACTGAGCTCTGCCCTGCATCTACAGCACTGAGCTCTGCCCTGCATCTACAGCACTGAGCTCTGCCCTGTATCTACAGCACTGATCTATGCCCTGTATCTACAGCACTGACATCTGCCCTGTATCTATAGCACTGAGCTCTGCCCTGTATCTACAGCACTGATCTATGCCCTGTATCTACAGCACTGATCTATGCCCTGTATCTACTGTACCCCTCTCCTCTAAGATCCTCTCGTTGTCCTCCTGTCCTAGCCCCCGGTCTACCGTCTGAAGACGTCTCACAGTTACTTCACGCAGATCCAGTGCCAGCTGGCGGTGACGGGCCTGCAGCAGGCCGACCTCACTGTCTTTACCCTGAAGGAGACGGCCATTGTCCCTGTGACCTTTGACCCTGACCTGTGGGAGGAGACGGTGTCCAAGCTGGAGGTGTTTTACAGGGACGCTGTCCTGCCTCACCTCAGAGAGAAGACACGGCAGGACGCAGCAGCAGCCTGGACACCAGAGCCGTAGAGACACTGTGGTGACCTCTGACCTCTGAGAGAACATCCTCCAGAGCAGGTCAGATGTGCAGCATCCGTTACCATGACGATATAACCAGGTTAAAACTACAGACAACCATCTGTAGGTCTATTACTGACACGTTACAAACACAAAATGGCCGTTTAAACAGGAAGTGGACATATTTCTGCTCCCAGTGGGCCGATATAGGATTAACATATTGGACCTCAATAACCCCAAAACCTCCTATATTGTCCCAATCAGCCAATCAGCTGCTGAGATATCGTCCATATAGCTGATTATTGATGCTAATGATGCTAATTGTCCAACATATGCAGGTTAGTATCAGTCAGTGTGACAGCTGGAGACCCAGACTGAACAGTTCTAACATTTCTGGGTTCATAATGTGGAAATATTGTCTAAAAACTGACATTGTTTTTATTATATTTTTATAATTATGTAATGAATTAAACTGGAATAACTATTCAGTGGATATTAAATTGTTTTAACTGCATGTTCCGTCTTTGTGGGAGTTTTTCGTTGATCTTTTGTGACGTTGTTGACTGTTATTAACAGGATGTTATTAACAGGATGTTATTAACAGGATGTTATCAGAGTTGGGAGGGTTAAAATACTAACTACTGTTTGAACAATCCCAATATTAAGTAACTTGACTACTTTCTGTAACTTTTAGATTACCTTAACACCAAATATGCAAATGAAGACCAGAAAATAAAAGTCAATAATAGGTATTGATGATTTTATAAACAGAACAATAAAACTTCTGATTGTGAATTTTTGAATTGTAACATACAAGCAGTAATGGATTACCTTTGTTTGTACCCTGATTACCTCCCCGAGCCAGCTGTTACTGTAAGTAAACCGGGTTCTGTTACAGTCAGTAATCTGGATTCTCTCTAAAAGTGTCTTAATTATTGTTTGTTGTATTCTGAGTGGAGCTGCATATTGATGAGTTACTTTGTTCGGTGACGTCGTTTATTTTTTATATTTGTTTAAATTCTTTTTACATCCTGACAGAAATCAATAAATCAATAAATCAATAAATCAAATCCTCTGAAAAACAGAAGTAAACTGAGGTTGTTTTCCTGAACTGTGTGAATAAGACAGGAAGTAGTTGTTCAGGTACGTTTGAGGGGAGGGGCAAGGATTTCTTTGATACTTTCAAAATAAAATAAAGTCTACCCGTCTCTGACCTTTGACCTCTGAACCGCTCCCTGCTTTACTCATTCTTGTTGTTAATAAACTTTATTGATCAGGCTGCGTCTGAGTTCTCTGATCAATGTTTGTCTCCAGAGTTCAGTTTTTATTATTCAGAAAGGCTTTTGTCAGAAGATATTTAATAAACTGACTAAAACTAAACATTTCCTGTTTATTTTCAGTCAGTTTCAGTTCACTCTTAGTTTTTATTTCAGTTTTTATTGAACTTTACTAACTTAAGTTTGTTTGTACTGATGATGTATTTGTCCTCTGACTGTTTGAACCAAGAAAATAATAATTATATATATAATAAATAATATATATATATATATATATATATATTCTGAGTGTGTGCAGATGTGTGCAGTAACTCCAGTCTGACGGAACCAGTAGAACCAGTAGAACCAGTAGAAGAAGAGAAAACGACCACATGAGCTGATGGTTTTTATTTTGTCCTTTAAAACTGATAAAACTTCCGCCGGTCGACGTTACAAAACAAAATCAGGTTTAAAGTGACGAGAAACTGACGACAGACGGTTGTTTGACTTTTAAATAAACTCCAGATCTTTCGCGATGACTCCGCCTCCTCCAGAGTTCACTGTGACCTCATCAGGTGAGCGGAAACCAACCAATCAGCTCGCATCAGAACATCACCTGAAGCAGGAGGTGAGACAGTTCAGAGAAGAAAAACGTCCTCCGGTCTGCTCCGACGGCCGATTGGCTGCTGTGACAGGTGCTGTTATGGAGGGGGCGGGGCTTATATGAGTGGTGGGCGGGGTCAGTCTGCAGTGGGCAGGGCCTCACAGGTAACCCTCCTTCTTGAACTGCTCGTGAAGGATGTCTCGGTACTCATCGAAGCCGCCGTCGATGCGTGTGACTTTCCCGGCTTCACACACCCACAGCTCCTTACACACCAACCGGATCAGACGCTCGTCGTGGGACACCAGGATGACCCCGCCCTGAAACATATGACATCACACAGTGAGGAAACACACCTGAGATACACCTGAGATCTCCTGTCCACTCCCACAGAAACAGGTCCAGACACTCTTGACCTTGTTTTATCATATGGCATTGATATTGAACATTTAATAGTCTTCCCACATAATCCTTTCCTATCTGACCATTATTTAGTAACTTTTGAATTCATACTATTAGATTATAAGCCATTAGGCAAAACTTCCTACAGCAGATGTCTATCTGACAGTGCTGTAGCTAAATTTAAGGAGGAGATTCCTTCAGTGTTTAATTCAATGCCATGTCTGAATTTAACAGAGTCCTATAACAACTTTAGTCCCTCTGAAATTGATAATCTTGTCGATAGTGCTACAGGCTCACTACGATCAACATTAGACTCTATCGCTCCTATAAAAAGGAAATTATTAAAACATAGGAGACTAGCACCTTGGTATAACCACCAAACCCGCCAGTTAAAACAAATAGCTAGGAAATCTGAAAGGAAATGGCGCTCTTCCAAATTATCAGAATATCGCTCAAATTGGCAAGATGATCTTAAGATTTATAGAAAGGCCCTCCGTAATGCCAGAGGAGCCTATTACTCAGCACTAATAGAAGAAAATAAGAACAACCCTAGGTTCCTCTTCAGCACTGTAGCCAGGCTGACAGAGAGTCACAGCTCTATCGAGCCACATATCCCCATAAACTTAAGTAGCAATGACTTCATGAGCTTCTTCTATAATAAAATTATTACTATTAGAGAGAAAATTAATCACCAACTGCCATCAACAGTTATCAGTGGCTCTCCAAGTTCAGGGACTTCTGTCAATGTAAACTTAGATGTATATTTAGACTGTTTTTCTGCTATCGATCTTCATCAGTTAACTTCAATCATTTCTTCATCGAAGCCATCAACCTGTCTGTTAGACCCGATCCCAACTAGGCTGCTTAAAGAAGTTGTTCCCTTAATTGGCACTTCTTTACTGGATATGATTAATCTTTCTTTATTATCAGGATATGTACCACAGTCCTTTAAAGTAGCTGTAATTAAACCCCTTCTTAAAAAGTCTACTCTTGACCCAGGGGTTTTAGCCAACTATAGACCGATTTCTAACCTCCCGTTCCTCTCTAAGATTCTGGAGAAAGTAGTCGCCAAAGAGTTGTGTGACTTTCTACATAACAATAGTTTATTTGAGGATTTTCAGTCAGGATTTAGAGTTCATCATAGCACAGAGACAGCTCTGGTTAAAGTTAATAATGACCTTCTGACTGCTTCTGACAATGGACTTGTCTCTGTACTTGTATTATTAGATCTTAGTGCTGCATTTGACACCATTGACCATGATATTCTTTTACAGAGACTTGAGCATCAAATTGGCATTAAAGGAACTGCCCTAACCTGGTTTAAGTCATACTTATCAGATCGTACTCAGTTTGTACATGTTAACGATGAATCCTCCATAAATACTAAAGTTAGTCATGGAGTTCCACAAGGTTCTGTACTTGGACCAATACTATTTACTTTATATATGCTCCCTTTAGGCAACATTATTAGGAATCACTCCATTAACTTTCACTGTTATGCAGATGATACGCAGTTATATCTATCAATCAAACCCAATGAAATTAATCACTTATCTAAATTACAAACATGTCTTAAGGACATAAAATCCTGGATGACCTGCAATTTTCTGATGTTAAACTCAGAAAAAACCGAAATTCTTGTTCTTGGCCCCAAAAACCTTAGAGACTCATTGTCTAAAGATATAGTCACTCTAGATGGCATTAACTTGGCCTCTAGCACCACTGTCAGGAATCTTGGAGTTCTCTTTGATCAGGATTTGTCATTTAACTCCCACATAAAGCAGACCTCTAGGACTGCCTTCTTTCATTTACGTAATATTAGAAAAATTAGACACATACTATCACAGACAGATGCAGAAAAACTAATCCATGCATTTGTTACTTCAAGGCTGGATTACTGCAACTCTTTATTATCAGGTTGCCCCAATAAGTCCATTAAAACGCTCCAATTAATTCAGAACGCTGCAGCACGAGTACTGACAGGAACTAGAAAAAGAGATCACATCTCTCCTGTACTAGCTACTCTGCATTGGCTCCCTATAAAATGTAGAATTGAATTTAAAATACTCCTCCTCACCTATAAAGCTCTTCATGGTCAGGCCCCTTCATATCTTAAAGTGCTCATAGTACCCTATTACCCCACTAGAACACTACGTTCTCTGAATGCTGGGCTACTTGTGGTTCCTATAGTCTCTAAAAGTAGAACAGGAGCCAGAGCCTTCAGTTACCAAGCTCCTCTCCTGTGGAACCAGCTTCCAGTTGTGGTTCGGGAGGCAGACACCCTCACCACATTCAAGAGTAGGCTTAAGACATTCCTCTTTGATAAAGCTTATAGTTAGGGCTGGATCAGGTGAGTCCTGAACCATCCCTTAGTTATGCTGCTATAGGCCTAGACTATCGGGGGATTTCCCATGGTGCACTGAGCTACTCTCTTCCTCTCTCTTTCTGCACTCATTCATGTCCCTTTAATGCATGTTACTAACTCCACTTCTTCCCCGGAGTTCTTGTGCTTTCTCGTCTCGCAGGTTCTCATGGATCCTGGTGGAGCCTCCTGCCATGGTCCTGCTTGACTGCCATTGCCAATACTGTTGTTGCTGTGCACCTGTCTGTCTGTCTGTCGCTCTCTCTCTCTCTCTCTCTCTCTCTCTCTCTCTCTCTCTCTCTCTCCCTCACCCCAACTGGTCGAGACAGACGACCACCCACCTAGAGCCGGAGGATCTGTCCTAGGTTTCTGCCTTTTAACAGGCAGTTTTTCCTTGCCCTTGTCGCCAAGTGCTTGCTCATGGTGGTACTGTTGGGTCTCTGTAATTAATGTTAAAGAGTTCGGTCTAGACCTGCTCTATTTGAAAAGTGTCCTGAGATAACTTCTGTTATGAATTGGCGCTATACAAATAAAATTGAATTGAAAATTGAATTGAACTCATGGAGGATTTCCTTTGTGAAACATTACGTATATATTCATGCCCTGTCTGACCAATCACACACTCCCGTTCACTGATGTCACAGTGATGTCACAGTGATGTCACAGTGATGCCACACACTCACTTTGAACTTGTTGAGAGCTTTAGCCAGAGCCTCGATGGTCTCCATGTCCAGGTGATTGGTCGGCTCGTCCAGAATGTAGAAGTTCGGACTAAAGGACAGACAGACGACATCATCATCATCATCATCATCATCATCATCATCATCACCACCACCACCACCACCAGCTGAACCCTGAGCTTTCTGCTACCATGGCATGGTCATCTGTGCGAAGGCCACCCGGCTCTTCTGTCCTCCCGACAGACTGGCCACCGGCCTCGTGGAGAGCTCTCCGGTGATCCCATAGCCTCCCAGCTGATGGCGGTACTCCTCCTCCGTCCGACCTGTGACACACACACACACACACACACACACACACACACACACACACACACACACACACACACACACACACACACACACACACACACACACACACACACACACACACACACACACACACACACACACACACACACACGCCAATCAGAAACTCTCGTCAATGACTGATTAAACCGCTCTTAAACAGGCCACGCCTCCTGGAGCACGGACTGTGAAACCAATTCTACTGTTGCTAGTTCCCTTCAAAAAGCATATTAATGTTTCTCTATAAACTGTTCCCTAACTGAAAATTGAATTGAATTAAACAGGGTAAATGGTTCCCTAACAGACAGTAAAAGGTTTCCAGTATTTTGTTGTTGTTGTTGTTGTCATAGTTACCGGGGAACCTGTTGAGCAGCAGCTCCACAGAGCAGACGTTCAGGTCCAGCTGGTCCACGTGATGCTGACTGAAGTAACCGATTTTCAAACTCCTGATGAGAAATTTAATGAGAAAAGAAACTAGTTAAAAATATGGTTCCCTAATAATGGTTTAAAGGGGAACTTCGGCAGATTTTTACTCTAGTCTTGATCACTAGAGGTCCCCGAGTACTGTCGATAGGAAAAAGAACGACCAGAATTGGTTCTAGCAAACTGGAGATCCTGCAGCTAATGGCCAGAGCTCCCAGTTAGTTATAATACACTTCTTGGGGGCATTTCCTAAAGAGTGCTTTTGCTCCTCTTAACAGACACAAAATGCAATTAAAATATCTGTGCAACATGATCAGGGCCCTTACGTGACAACAACATGCCTTTTCAACTCATACGTTGTGCAGAAACCGTACAAACAGTACTGTCGCCTACCTGTTTTTCCACCGCTCGCTTCACCGAAAGCCCAGAATAATCGATCACAGAGATAATGCCTTCACAACGAAAAACAGTTTATTTCCCCCTCAAAAATGTCCATGTCATGATTGTTGATCGGAGGTGTTTACAAGTGAAGAAGCTTGGAGTAAGAATAACGTGTGTTGATCTACTGTGGAGAAGAAATGGTTCACATTTGTGCCTTTCCAAATTGTAGCAACAGAATGAGAAGGTACAAGTGCCTACACTTTCATCGTCTACCTTTCCATGACCATGAGATACTGCAGTTGTGGCGAGTTGTTCTTCAGCTGGATGTGCAAACTCCCATACAAGTACTATGAGAAAATGATCTCCGCATGAAATGATGATCTCCGGAAAAACAGGTAGGCGACAGTACTGTTTGTACGGTTTCTGCACAACGTATGAGTTGAAAGGCATGTTGTTGTCACGTAAGGGCCCTGATCATGTTGCACAGATATTTTAATTGCATTTTGTGTCTATTAAGAGGAGCAAAAGGCACTCTTTAGGATATGCCCCCAAAAAGTGTATTATAACTACCTGGGAGCTCTGGCCATTAGCTGCAGGATCTCCAGTTTGCTAGAACCAATTTTGGTCAAGACTAGGGTAAAAATCTGCCAAAGTTCCCTTTTAAGTTTTCTATAATCTAATCAGTTACCTACAATCAGTACAAAGTGGTTCCCTATAAACCAGCTCAGGTAACAGAGGCAGGTAAGTGCTCTGCTCTGATTGGTCGTTGGTCGTCTTACCTGTGAGCTTGTCTGACTCCGTTGACCGGCGTCAACTCGCCCATCAGCAGTTTGAGGATGGTCGATTTACCGGCGCCGTTTTCACCAACCTGACAGCAAACACAACACAACACGTAAACTCCAACACAGTCCAGACTGTACATTATTGATCACATATGACAGCTGTCACTGATTGGCTGATTTTATTGATCACACGTACGATGCAGATGCGAGACTCGAGGTCAGCTGACAGGTTGAGTCCGGAGAAGAGCCGTTGGTCTGGACTGTAATAAAACTCCACTTCATCTAACTGCAGGATGGGAGGAGACAACTTCTCAAAGTTATCTGGAAACCTGTGAGAGGAAAACAATCAATCAATCAATCAATCAATCAATCAATCAATCAATGCCTGAAATCATCCTTAACTGAGACCACAGAAATGTGTAAAGATATAAGGTGATATAAAGTTTATCTTCTTACTTTAAAGTGACTTCAGTTTCTTTCTCAATGGGCTTCAGTTCAGGTCTGCAGGAGAAAACAACACATTCCAGTTAGAGTCACAGTCTCAGGTAGAGATCACCTGAAACACCTGAAACACCTGAAACACCTGAAATAACACCTGTCTGATAAGGTACATATGTGTCCAGCTGGATATTACTGTGACACATCCTACTAATGAACTGGTGTGTATGAGGTGTGTGTATGAGGTGTGTGTATGAGGTGTGTATGAGGTGTGTGTATGAGGTGTGTGTATAAGGTGTGTATGAGGTGTGTATAAGGTGTGTGTATAAGGTGTGTGTATGAGGTGTGTGTATGAGGTGTGTGTATGAGGTGTGTGTATGAGGTGTGTGTATGAGGTGTGTGTATGAGGTGTGTGTATAAGGTGTGTATAAGGTGTGTGTATGAGGTGTGTGTATGAGGTGTGTGTATGAGGTGTGTGTATGAGGTGTGTATGAGGTGTGCGTTTACTCACAGTCTCTCCAACAGTTTGAGTTTGCTCTGGACCTGAGCTGCTCTGTTAGCGTTGTACCTAAATCTGTCGATAAACACCTGAAACACAAACACAGTGCATTCTGGGAATATGTATATGTTGTCTGTACTGCAATAGTACCTTAATGTTTTGTCTGTACTGCAGTCTGTACTGCAGTAGTACCTGTATATGTTGTCTGTATTGCAGTAGTACCTCTCTCTGTCTCTCTCTCTCTCTGTCTCTCTCTCTCTGTCTCCCTCCAACTGGTCGAGACAGACGACCACCCACCTAGAGCCGGAGGATCTGTCCTAGGTTTCTGCCTTTTAACAGGCAGTGTTTCCTTGCCCTTGTCTCCAAGGTCTTGCTCATGGTGGTACTGTTGGGTCTCTGTAATTAATGTTTTAAAGAGTTCGGTCTAGACCTGCTCTATTTGAAAAGTGTCCTGAGATAACTTCTGTTATGAATTGGCGCTATACAAATAAAATTGAATTGAATTGAAATTGAATATGTTGTCTGTACTGTCGTCTATACTGCAGTTGTACCTGTACTGTCATCTGTATTGCAGCAGTACCTGTATATGTTGTCTGTACTGCAGCAGTACCTGTATATGTTGTCTGTACTGCAGTAGTACCTGTATATGTTGTCTGTATTGCAGTAGTACCTGTATATGTTGTCTGTACTGCAGTAGTACCTGTATATGTTGTCTGTATTGCAGTAGTACCTGTACTGTCGTCTGTACTGCAGTAGTACCTGTATATGTTGTCTGTACTGCAGTTGTACCTGTATATGTTGTCTGTACTGTCGTCTGTACTGCAGTAGTACCTGTATATGTTGTCTGTATTGCAGTAGTACCTGTATATGTTGTCTGTACTGCAGCAGTACCTGTATATGTTGTCTGTATTGCAGTTGTACCTGTATATGTTGTCTGTACTGCAGTTGTACCTGTATATGTTGTCTGTACTGTCGTCTGTACTGCAGTAGTACCTGTATATGTTGTCTGTATTGCAGTAGTACCTGTACTGTCGTCTGTACTGCAGCAGTACCTGTATATGTTGTCTGTACTGCAGTAGTACCTGTATATGTTGTCTGTATTGCAGTAGTACCTGTATATGTTGTCTGTACTGCAGCAGTACCTGTATATGTTGTCTGTATTGCAGTTGTACCTGTATATGTTGTCTGTACTGTCGTCTGTACTGCAGTAGTACCTGTATATGTTGTCTGTATTGCAGTAGTACCTGTACTGTCGTCTGTACTGCAGCAGTACCTGTAATGTTGTCTGTACTGCAGTAGTACCTGTATATGTTGTCTGTACTGCAGTTGTACCTGTATATGTTGTCTGTACTGCAGTTGTACCTGTATATGTTGTCTGTACTGTTGTCTGTACTGCAGTAGTACCTGTATATGTTGTCTGTACTGTTGTCTGTACTGCAGTAGTACCTGTATATGTTGTCTGTACTGTCGTCTGTACTGCAGTAGTACCTGTATATGTTGTCTGTACTGTTGTCTGTACTGCAGTAGTACCTGTATATGTTGTCTGTACTGTTGTCTGTACTGCAGTAGTACCTGTATATGTTGTCTGTACTGTCGTCTGTACCGCAGTAGTACCTGTATATGTTGTCTGTACTGTCGTCTGTACCGCAGTAGTACCTGTATATGTTGTCTGTACTGTCGTCTGTACTGCAGTAGTACCTGTACTGTTGTCTGTACTGCAGTAGTACCTGTATATGTTGTCTGTACTGCAGCTGCGCCTCGTACTCTCTGTGCTGGTTCTTCAGTCTGTCTTCTTTGGTTTTAATAAAGTTTTCATAGTCGCCACGGTAACTGTCCAGCCTCTGGGAGTGCAGGTGGATGATGTCCGTTACCACGGCGTTGAGGAAGTTTCTGTCGTGGGAGACGACCAAGATGGTGGACTGCCACGTCTGTGAGAGGAGGCATTGTTTAGGACTTGTTAGCTCTTGGCTAACTGTTGTCATTGTTTTCAATGAGGAACGCTAACGTTAAAGTGAGGGACGGCTCAGACCTGCAGGTAGTTCTCCAACCACAGAATGGCTCTGACATCCAACATGTTGGTCGGCTCTGAAACACACAGGACGAATACATCAGAGTACTGAATCACTACTACTGCTGCATATGTACCACTACAGTTCCCACTCACCGTCCAGCAGCAGCAGGTCCGGCCTGGTTAAAGAAGAATACAATAAATGATGTGTTAGAGGGCTGTCAACCATTGTCAGCAGTAGTAGTTACACTCAGGTACTTGAACACATCACTGTGACTGACTGAGAGAAGAAACTGTTCAAACATAAAGAAACAAAAGGCTGAAACTCACCGAGCAAACAGAGCTCTGGCCAACGCCAACCTCATCCTCCATCCACCAGAGAACTCCCTACACACACACACACACACACACACACACACACACACACACACACACACACACACACACAGAAAAACAACACAACAGACACACACACACACACAGACACACACACACAGACACACACACACACACACACACACACACACACACACACACACACACACACAGAGACACACACAGACACAGACAGACACACACAGACACACACACAGACACAGACACACACACAGACACACACACAGACACAGACACACACAGAGACACAGACACAGAGACACAGACACACACACACAGACACAGACACACAGACACACAGACACACACACACACAGACAGACACACACAGACACACACACACACAGACACACACACAGAGACACACACACAGACACACACAGACACACACAGACACACACACAGAGACACAGACACAGACACAGACAGACACACACACAGACAGACACACACAGACACACACACACACACAGACAGACACACACACACACAGACCCACACACAGACACACACACACAGACACACACACACGTTACTATAAAGGAACATACAGAGGACATATGCTCATATACTGACACTGTGGGGACCCGACTACCTTCTGGGGACAAAATGGAGGAGAGTCCCCGCAACATAATCATTTAACTCCAGAGACTTTAAAGTAGGGTGAGTGTCCAGGTAATGAATGCAAGTCAGTGCAGACAGGACTCACTTGGTGGTCTGCTGTTGCATTCTTGGAGAGAATCCGAGACCAGCCAGGATGACGGAGGCTCTGATTGGACGAGACAGACGTCAATCAAAAACACATCACTGAGTTACATTACAGAGTGAATCAGTAGAAAGCAGCGCCCCCTGCTGGTAGCTGTACGGAGGTCAAACAGCTCCGGTTGTACTGGTGTGGCTGTTGTCAGTCAGACTGTGTGGTTGCCATAGTTACCGGGCCGGAGCTTTGTCGGCCTCGATCTCCTCCAGTTTGGCGTAGATCTCCGACAGTCGGACGCTCTCCATCCCGTCAGCGCTGACACACAAACACAGAGTTTCATTTTAGACTAAAAACGTCTGAAATTCAAATGGACTTTTGAATGAAGCGGTGACTTACGTTCCGTTGGCGATGCGAGCGTTGAGCCTCTTCTCCTCGCCCAGCAGCCCCTCCCTCAGCGTGTCGCTCTCCAGCACGCTCTGCAGCGCCCGCGTGTCGTCTCCGGCCACTTCCTGTTCCACGTGGAGGATGGAGATGTGAGCCGGGACGCGGAGGTTGCGACTGGCCAACATCTTCAACAGCGTCGTCTTCCCCAAACCGTTACGACCAATCAGACCGTACCGCCGGCCCGTCGCCAGAGATAGCTCCGCCCCCTGCAGCAAACACCTGCAGATAAACATACATTCATCAATATACCGATCAGAACCTCAAATACATTCATCAATATACCGATCAGAACCTCAAATACATTCATCAATATACCGATCAGAACCTCAAATACATTCATCAATATACCGATCAGAACCTCAAATACATTCATCAATATACCGATCAGAACCTCAAATACATTTATCAATATACCGATCAGAACCTCAGATACATTTATCTAGACACAGAGTAATGAGACACGCCCCCGCTCAGGAAATCCACTCCGCAGTTTGCAGCCAGCTAGCAAAGCCGTGATTCAGAGAGGAGGAAGCTCAACACTACGAACACAATCCAACATTTAAAAAAGCAACGCACGAAACAGCACGAGGATTATTTAACCAGGGACAGAAAGACTAAAGGAGCTGTCAGGAATCACTTCTGGAGTCATTCCAAAAACAACGTAAACTCCAGGCACTCTGTGTGTGTGTGTCTGTGTGTGTGTGTCTGTGTGTGTCTGTGTGTGTGTCTGTTTACACTTATTGCACTTTTCTTATATTTCAATTATTTGACATTTTGGGAATTTAATAAATATTGTCATGACAATCAGTTTGAAACCCTTACAGTTGCATATTTGTTTTCAGGATGGGATTTTTCCTGTTAACAGGATTTCCTGTTTTTCTGTCTTTATACTTACCTCAAGTTTCCTTTTGGGACAGACAGACAGACAGACAGACAGACAGACAGACAGACAGACAGACAGATCATACTGCCTGTTGAGAGGAGTTTATTTCAGCCTCATATAAAATCAACAATAATGATAATAATAATATTAAAGCAAACAGAGCTCTGGTATCGGAATAGTATCGGTATCGGCCGATATCCAAATTCAGGTATCGGGATCAGATCGGAAGTGAAAAAATGTGGATCGGTGCATCCCTAGGCTCATTATTAGATTATTGATTAACTCCGCCCACAGCTCACCTTTCTCCAAACGCAACATCAAAGTTCTCGATGCGGATGTCGTAGCTGCGGTTCTTCCCTGATTGGTCCACTCGGTTGTCCTTCTTATTGCTAGCCTGACTGGCCGACGCCTCCTCCAGGACTCTGTGAGACAGCAGGAGGACAGAGGACAGGTGAGGACAGGTGTGGAGAGGACAGGTGAGGAGAGGTGAGGACAGGTGAGGACAGGACAGAGAGGACAGGTGAGGAGAGGTGAGGACAGAAGAGGACAGGTGAGGACAGGTGAGGACAGGAGAGGACAGGAGAGGAGAGGTGAGGACAGAGAGGATAGGTGAGGACAGAGAGGATAGGTGAGGACAGGTGAGGACAGAGAGGATAGGTGAGGACAGAGAGGACAGGTGAGGACAGAGAGGATAGGTGAGGACAGGTGAGGACAGAGAGGATAGGTGAGGACAGGTGAGGACAGAGAGGATAGGTGAGGACAGGTGAGGACAGAGAGGATAGGTGAGGACAGAGAGGATAGGTGAGGACAGGTGAGGACAGAGAGGATAGGTGAGGACAGAGAGGACAGGTGAGGACAGAGAGGATAGGTGAGGACAGGTGAGGACAGAGAGGATAGGTGAGGACAGGTGAGGACAGAGAGGACAGGTGAGGACAGAGAGGATAGGTGAGGACAGGAGAGGACAGAGAGGATAGGTGAGGACAGGTGAGGACAGAGAGGATAGGTGAGGACAGGTGAGGACAGAGAGGACAGGTGAGGACAGAGAGGATAGGTGAGGACAGAGAGGACAGGTGAGGACAGGAGAGGATAGGTGAGGACAGGTGAGGACAGAGAGGATAGGTGAGGACAGGTGAGGACAGGAGAGGATAGGTGAGGATAGGTGAGGACAGGTGAGGACAGGTGAGGACAGAGAGGATAGGTGAGGACAGAGAGGACAGGTGAGGACAGAGAGGATAGGTGAGGACAGGTGAGGACAGAGAGGACAGGTGAGGACAGGAGAGGATAGGTGAGGACAGAGAGGATAGGTGAGGACAGGTGAGGACAGGAGAGGACAGGTGAGGATAGGTGAGGACAGGTGAGGATAGGTGAGGACAGGTGAGGACAGGTGAGTACTCACAGTGGATTGGTGGGTTTCTGAGAGTCCTTCTCGTTCCTGCGTTCATGTTTGGCTTTCAGCTTCGCCTCAGCTTTCTCCAGTTTCTTGGCGTCCACCGTCTGAGGACACAGACAGGAAGTGATGCGTTTCACATGTTAAAGTCTCCAAACAGGAAGTCTTTTATTGTGAAACTCCGCTGTTTAATCAGCAATAGAAACAAAATGGACTCACTGTGTTCTGAGCACGTTTCATCATCCAGATTCCTTGAACATCCTCTGCTCCAGTGACTGAGGAAACAGTCAGTAACAGACGGTAAACAGTCAGTTACAGACAGTAACAGACAGTAACAGTCAGTAACAGACGGAAACAGTCAGTAACAGTCAGTAAACAGTCAGTAACAGACAGTAACAGACGGTAACAGACGGTAACAGTCAGTAACAGTCAGTAACAGACGGTAACAGACGGAAACAGTCGGTAACAGACGGTAACAGACGGTAACAGTCAGTAAACAGTCAGTAACAGTCAGTAAACAGTCAGTAACAGACGGTAACAGACGGTAACAGACGGTAACAGTCAGTAACAGTCAGTAACAGACGGTAACAGACGGAAACAGTCGGTAACAGACGGTAACAGACAGTAACAGTCAGTAACAGACGGAAACAGTCAGTAACAGTCAGTAAACAGTCAGTAACAGACAGTAACAGACGGTAACAGTCAGTTACAGACAGTAACAGACAGTAACAGACGGTAACAGACGGAAACAGTCAGTAACAGTCAGTAAACAGTCAGTAACAGAAAGTAACATACGGAAACAGTCAGTAACAGTCAGTAACAGACAGTAACAGACGGTAAAAGACGGAAACAGTCGGTAACAGACGGTAACAGTCAGTAAACAGTCAGTAACAGTCAGTAACAGACAGTAACAGTCGGTAACAGACAGTAACAGTCAGTTACAGACAGTAACAGACGGTAACAGACGGAAACAGTCAGTAACAGACGGTAAACAGTCAGTTACAGACAGTAACAGTCGGTAACAGACGGAAACAGTCAGTAACAGAAGGTAACAGACAGTAACAGACGGTAACAGACGGAAACAGTCAGTTACAGACAGTAACAGACGGTAACAGACGGAAACAGTCAGTAACAGACAGTAACAGTCAGTTACAGACAGTAACAGACAGTAACAGACGGAAACAGTCAGTAACAGACGGTAACAGACGGTAACAGTCAGTTACAGACAGTAACAGACAGTAACAGACGGTAACAGACGGAAACAGTCAGTAACAGTCAGTAAACAGTCAGTAACAGACGGTAACAGACGGAAACAGTCAGTAACAGACGGTAACAGTCAGTAACAGACAGTAAACAGTCAGTTACAGTCAGTAACAGACAGTAACAGACGGAAACAGTCAGTAACAGACGCTAACAGTCAGTAACAGACAGTAAACAGTCAGTTACAGTCAGTAACAGACAGTAACAGTCGGTAACAGACAGTAACAGTCAGTTACAGACAGTAACAGTCGGTAACAGACAGTAACAGTCAGTTACAGACAGTAACTGACGGTAACAGACGGAAACAGTCAGTAACAGACGGTAACAGACGGAAACAGTCAGTAACAGGCGGAAACAGTCAGTTACAGACAGTAACAGACGGTAACAGTCGGTAACAGACAGTAACAGTCAGTTACAGTCAGTAACAGACAGTAAACAGTCGGTAACAGACAGTAACAGACGGTAACAGACAGTAAACAGTCAGTTACAGACAGTAACAGACGGAAACAGTCAGTAACAGTCAGTTACAGTCAGTAACAGTCGGTAACAGTCGGTAACAGACAGTAACAGACAGTAACAGTCAGTAACAGTCAGTAACAGTCGGAAACAGACGGAAACAGTCAGTAACAGTCAGTTATAGACAGCAAACAGTCAGTTACAGACAGTCAGTAACAGTCAGTAACAGGCAGTAACAGGCAGTAACAGTCAGTTACAGACAGCAAACAGTCAGTTACAGACAGTCAGTAACAGTCAGTTACAGACAGTCAGTAACAGTCAGTTACAGTCAGTTACAGACAGTCAGTAACAGTCAGTTACAGTCAGTTAGTCAGTAACAGACAGTAACAGACGGTAACAGTCAGTAACAGTCAGTAACAGACGGAAAGAGACAGTAACAGACAGTAACAGTCAGTAACAGACGGAAACAGTCAATAACAGACAGTAACAGTCAGTTACAGTCAGTTACAGACAGCAAACAGTCAGTAACAGTCAGTTACAGACAGTCAGTAATTACCGTTGTCTGCAGAGATCTGAGACAGTTGCACCGGGGCGTCCAACAGAACCTGCCTCTGGGAGCCATGATGGTTGTTCCTGAAACACACAGAGTCACTTTATTGTTCAAGGTTTTATATCTGACATATTAAACATTATATTATCTCTATATATATTTAAACATTAATATATCAGCTAACATTATATTCTCTATATACAGACACAAAGTCACATGGTGTCTCTCTCCCTCTGCCTGTGTTGTATCGCAGCCTCTCTGTGGTTTGTTTCCATAGCCGGTCTGCTCCGACTGAAACTGCTGTTTTTATCATCTACGTCGGTGAATTAAGGATTTATTTCCACCAAACCAGAGTTGGTGATTGTTGGAAACACTAACAGAGACGCTTTTAATCAGTTTGATTCTGTTTCTGTCCACTTTGAAGGGTTTAATGATTCTCTAGGATAAATCAGTGGTTTTATGAATGGAGTCTGGTGGGCTGCAGGGCTCAGTGTTTGGGAACCACTGACAGACAGTAGAGAAGTCAGTTATACTGCAGGACTTTTGGTTTTGATCTTTTTATATTTCTTCTACCATCAGACTCATTTATTGATCATAACCTCCTCTGATTACCACAGACTGAATGTGTCTGTCTGTTGCTGTGTCTGTGTAAAGCTTCCTTACAGTGTGAGCGTGTTGAACATCTGGAAGCAGATTTCTCTGACGTCGTCTTCGTTCTTACTGTCAGCGGACACTCCCTGCAGGACGCCTCCGATGGCGTCGTAGACCTCCTCCCCATCCTCAAAGTCCGCTCCGCCACTGGCCAAAACACCTGAAACACAAACACATTCAGGTGTTCACACACACACACACACATTCAGGTGTTCACACACACACACACACATTCAGGTGTTCACACACACACACACACATTCAGGTGTTCACACACACACACACACACACACACATTCAGGTGTTCAAACACACACATTCAGGTGTTCACACACACACATTCAGGTGTTCACACACACACACATTCAGGTGTTCACACACACACACACATTCAGGTGTTCACACACACACACATTCAGGTGTTCACACACACACACACATTCAGGTGTTCACACACACACACACATTCAGGTGTTCACACACACACACATTCAGGTGTTCACACACACACACACACACACATTCAGGTGTTCACACACACACATTCAGGTGTACACATACACACACATTCAGGTGTTCACATACACACACATTCAGGTGTTCACACACACACATTCAGGTGTTCACACACAGCTGCTGTCACTCTACACCAAACTTCTGTTTCTATTCCGACGTTTTAACGATTGCTTTGCTGTTAAACTCACAGACGCCAGCCAATGAGAGCAGTGTCTCGCCAGCACCAGACAGGAAGCAGAGAACCAGGTAGTTACTATGGTAACGCCCAAATATATTGATCCTGTATTGACAGTCAGACTGTGGACATATGACGGCCTTTAGCTCGTGTTTCTAGAGTTACGTGTTGTTACGAACACGTTAGGAATTGTTAAAATGTGATATTTCTTAAAGGGAGTTTGGTGCAGGGAGCTTTTAGTTGGATTCAAACTGCTGATATGGATCATTGTTAACGTTTAGTCTCCACTACAGAAACACTAGCTAACTGCTGAAGTAACGCTCTAATAATCTGTGTATTGATTACTGATCACCGTTATTAATAACTCCTGATATAACCCAGTTGGTAGATGGTGATGTCATCTTCTTAATTAATTTATGAATAATAACTTTCAGACTTTATCTGTTTCCTCACAGTCACAGTAAATACTTCCTGTGATACTCCTGTACTGTTTCCTGTCATACTACTATAAAACTATTATAAAACTATTATAATATAACTATAAAACTATTATAATAGAACTATAACACTATTATAATATAACTATAACACTATTATAATATTACTATAACACTATTATAATATTACTATAACACTATTATAATAGAACTATAACACTATTATAAAACTATTATAATATAACTATAAAACTATTATAATAGAACTATAACACTATTATAATATTACTATAACACTATTATAATATTACTATAACACTATTATAATAGAACTATAACACTATTATAATATTACTATAACACTATTATAATAGAACTATAACACTATTATAATATAACTATAACTATAAATCATAACACTATTATAATAGAACTATAATTTTTAATAAAAAAATAAAAAATTATTAAAAAAAAATTAAAAAACTATTATAATAGAACTATAAAACTATTATAATATTACTATAACACTATTATAATATTACTATAACACTATTATAATATAACTATAACACTATTATAATATAACTATAACACTATTATAATAGAACTATAACACTATTATAATATTACTATAACACTATTATAATATAACTATAACACTATTATAATATTACTATAACACTATTATAATAGAACTATTAAACTACCTGGAACCCCTCTGCGGTCTGTGTGTCTCAGTTTCGGGGTTTGGTCTCGTCAAACCGGATTTAAATCCTTAAACTGACTAATCATGTTTTAGGTCTAGCTAACGAGCCATGCTGAGCCGAGCCATGCTGAGCCATGCCGAGCCATGCCGAGCCATGCCGAGCCGAGCCATGCTGAGCCATGCCGAGCCGTGCTAACCGGTGTCCCTGCCCAGCAGCTACAGTCAGCCCGGTTAGCTCGTTAGCTCTGTAGCTACAGCGGCTACCAGGCGGAGCAGAGAGCGGTCCGTGCCGCTCCACCGGGCCGACACACAGCGGCTCCGTCCCCGGCACACAGCGGCTCCGTCCCCGGCACACAGCGGCTCCGGGCCCGGCCTCTCACCTGTGATGTAGTCGAAGACCTCCGAGTCGATCTCCGGGAACTCGCTCTTCAGGATGTCCACGTACGTCGCCATGATACCCGGCCCTGGACTCCGCCGCGACGCGCATGCGCCAATATGCGACAGCGCCGTGCATTCTGGGAGATGACGTATTTGTGTCGATCGGGTTGACGTCAGACGATAAAAACGAACTACAAATGATCCGGAGAGTTATTATAACGATTATGTGTGATTATTGATCTGAATTTTATGGTTTTTAATATTTGTTTTTATTTCTGGAACATTTGATCATTTTATTAAACTGACTTTAAAAGATGACTTTATATATTTATATCATCTTTTTATTAAATGATTAATTCATAAAGCAACTGTACTGGACTTATTCATTTAGTACTCACTTTAATACAATTATATCTAGAATGTTAGCGCTGCATGAGTGGCAGCTACTCACAATCTTTTTAGAGTTTTTTTAATAGTGTTTAGTGTTTTAGTGTACTTTTTTAATATATAGTGTTTTAGTGTACTTTTTTAATATATAGTGCTTTAGTGTACTCTTTAATATAAGTGCTTTAGTGTACTTTTTAATATATAGTGCTTTAGTGTACTTTTTTTAATATATAGTGCTTTAGTGTACTCTTTTTAATATATAGTGTTTTAGTGTACTCTTTTTAATATATAGTGCTTTAGTGTACTCTTTTAATATATAGTGCTTTAGTGTACTTTTTTAATATATAGTGCTTTAGTGTACTCTTTTAATATATAGTGCTTTAGTGTACTCTTTTAATATATAGTGCTTTAGTGTACTTTTTTAATATATAGTGTTTTAGTGTACTCTTTTTAATATATAGTGCTTTAGTGTACTTTTTTAATATATAGTGCTTTAGTGTACTTTTTTAATATATAGTGCTTTAGTGTACTTTTTTTAATATATAGTGCTTTAGTGTACTTTTTTTAATATATAGTGCTTTAGTGTACTTTTTTTAATATATAGTGTTTTAGTGTACTTTTTTAATATATAGTGTTTTAGTGTACTTTTTTAATATATAGTGCTTTAGTGTACTTTTTTAAATATATAGTGCTTTAGTGTACTTTTTTAATATATAGTGCTTTAGTGTACTTTTTTTAATATATAGTGTTTTAGTGTACTCTTTTTAATATATAGTGTTTTAGTGTACTTTTTTAATATATAGTGTTTTAGTGTACTTTTTTAATATATAGTGCTTTAGTGTACTTTTTTTAATATATAGTGCTTTAGTGTACTTTTTTAATATATAGTGCTTTAGTGTACTTTTTTTAATATATAGTGTTTTAGTGTACTTTTTTTAATATATAGTGCTTTAGTGTACTTTTTTTAATATATAGTGTTTTAGTGTACTTTTTTAATATATAGTTTTAGTGTACTTTTTTAATATATAGTGCTTTAGTGTACTTTTTTTTAATATATAGTGCTTTAGTGTACTCTTTTTAATATATAGTGTTTTAGTGTTTTAATATTTTTAGTGTACTTTTTTAATATATAGTGCTTAGTGTACTTTTTTAATATATAGTGCTTTAGTGTACTTTTTTAATATATAGTGTTTTAGTGTACTTTTTTAATATATAGTGCTTTACTTTTTTTTAATATATAGTGCTTTAGTGTACTTTTTTTAATATATAGTGCTTTAGTGTACTTTTTTAATATATAGTGTTTTAGTGTACTCTTTTAATATATAGTGCTTTAGTGTACTTTTTTTAATATATAGTGCTTTAGTGTACTCTTTTTAATATATAGTGTTTTAGTGTACTCTTTTTTAATATATAGTGCTTTAGTGTACTTTTTTAATATATAGTGTTTTAGTACTTTTTTAATATATAGTGTTACTCTTTTTAATATATAGTGCTTTAGTGTACTTTTTTAATATATAGTGTTTTAGTGTACTTTTTTTAATATATAGTGTTTTAGTGTACTCTTTTTAATATATAGTGTTTTAGTGTACTTTTTTAATATATAGTGTTTTAGTGTACTCTTTTTAATATATAGTGCTTTAGTGTACTTTTTGTTGCTACCACCATACCATAGTTTAGTTTTTATCATAGTTCCTTAAAGGAAGATCCATCCACAACAACATCCGCTTGGTTCAGGACCTGTTAGAACACAATTTAATTGAACCCCTTGCTAAGCTCCTTCTTTAAGTATACTGCCCAACATCTTGTATACTCTTCTTTTGTTTTACTTCTTTTATTTTCTTAGCTTTTATTTAATCCTAAAATGTCTCTCTCTATATGATGCATTTGTATCTGTGGTAAATGTTAAACAGAATTCATTAGGAGGTATGAACATGATTTAGAATGTAATAATTGTTATATACCAAGAGTTTGTCACTGTAACATGTTTTCTGATATAATTTCCAAAAAAGCATTTGGGGAAAAAAAATATATAAGTTTTTATCATAGTTTTTTATATCTGTATTTATTTAGTAATTGCTGCTGTGGCAAGCAGTTGTGGGATTAATAAAGTAATACAATACAATACAATTATAGTAATAGATACCGTATTATAGTAATAGATACAGTATTATAATATATTATACAGTATTATAGTAATTTTATACAGTATATTACTGTATAATACACTATAATACTGTATATAATACTGTATCTATTACTATAATACTGTATATAATACTGTATAACACACTATAATACTGTATATAATACTATAATACTGTATCTATTACTATAATACTGTATATAATACTGTATCTATTACTATAATACTGTATATAATACTGTATAACACACTATAATACTGTATATAATACTATAATACTGTATCTATTACTATAATACTGTATATAATACTGTATAATACACTATAATACTGTATATAATATTATAATACTGTATATAATACTGTATATAATATTATAATACTGTATATAATACTGTATATAATATTATAATACTGTATGTAATACTGTATAATACACTATAATACTGTATATAATACTGTATATAATACTATAATACTGTATATAATACTGTATATAATATTATAATACTGTATAATACACTATAATACTGTATATAATACTGTAATACTGTATATAATATTATAATACTGTATATAATACTGTATAATACACTATAGTACTGTATATAATACTGTATAATACACTATAATACTGTATATAATACTGTATATTACACTATAATACTGTATATAATATTATAATACTGTATATAATACTGTATAATACACTATAATACTGTATATAATACACTATAATACTGTATATAATACTGTAATACTGTATATAATATTATAATACTGTATATAATACTGTATAATACACTATAGTACTGTATATAATACTGTATAATACACTATAGTACTGTATAATACACTATAATATTGTATAATACACTATAGTACTGTATATAATACTGTATAATACACTATAATACTGTATAATACTGTATATAATACTGTATAATACACTATAGTACTGTATATAATACTGTATAATAAACTATAGTACTGTATATAATTCTGTATAATACACTATAATACTGTATAATGTACTGTATAATACACTATAGTACTGTATATAATTCTGTATAATACACTATAATACTGTATATAATACTGTATAATACACTATAGTACTGTATAATACACTATAGTACTGTATATAATACTGTATAATAGACTATAGTACTGTATATAATACTGTATAATACACTATAGTACTGTATATAATACTGTATAATACTGTATATAATACTGTATAATACAATATAGTACTGTATATAATACTGTATAATACTGTATATAATACTGTATAATACACTATAGTACTGTATATAATACTGTATAATAGACTATAGTACTGTATATAATACTGTATAATAGACTATAGTACTGTATATAATACTGTATAATACTGTATATAATACTGTATAATACAATATAGTACTGTATATAATACTGTATAATACTGTATATAATACTGTATAATACACTATAGTACTGTATATAATACTGTATAATACACTACAGCACTGTATATAATACTGTATCATACCCTATAGTACTGTATATAGTACTGTATAATACTGTATAATAATACTGTATAATACCCTATAGTATATATACTGTATAATACACTATAGTACTGTATATAGTACTGTATAATACTTATATAATACTGTATAATACACTATAGTACTGTATATAATACTGTATAATAGACTATAGTACTGTATATAATACTGTATAATAGACTATAGTACTGTATATAGTACTGTATAATACTGTATATAATACTGTATAATACACTATAATACTGTATAATACTGTATAATACACTATAATACTGTATATAATACTGTATAATACACTATAGTACTGTATATAATACTGTATAATACACTATAATACTGTATATTGTACTGTATAATACACTATAGTACTGTATATAATACTGTATAATACACTATAATACTGTATATAATACTGTATAATACACTATAATACTGTATATAATACTGTATAATACACTATAGTACTGTATATAATATTGTATAATACACTATAGTACTGTATATAATACTGTATAATACACTATAATACTGTATATAATACTGTATAATACTGTATAATACACTATAATACTGTATATAATATTGTATAATACACTATAGTACTGTATATAATACTGTATAATACACTATAGTACTGTATATAATACTCTATAATACACTATAGTACTTTATATAATACTGTATAATACTGTATATAATACTGTATAATACACTATAGTACTGTATATAATACTGTATAATACACTATAATACTGTATATAATACTGTATAATACACTATAGTACTGTATATAATACTGTATAATACACTATAGTACTGTATATAATACTGTATAATACACTATAATACTGTATATAATACTGTATAATACACTATAATACTGTATATAATACTGTAATACTGTATATAATATTATAATACTGTATATAATACTGTATAATACACTATAGTACTGTATATAATACTGTATAATACACTATAGTACTGTATAATACACTATAATATTGTATAATACACTATAGTACTGTATATAATACTGTATAATACACTATAATACTGTATAATACTGTATATAATACTGTATAATACACTATAGTACTGTATATAATACTGTATAATAAACTATAGTACTGTATATAATTCTGTATAATACACTATAATACTGTATAATGTACTGTATAATACACTATAGTACTGTATATAATTCTGTATAATACACTATAATACTGTATATAATACTGTATAATACACTATAGTACTGTATAATACACTATAGTACTGTATATAATACTGTATAATAGACTATAGTACTGTATATAATACTGTATAATAGACTATAGTACTGTATATAATACTGTATAATACTGTATATAATACTGTATAATACACTATAGTACTGTATATAATACTGTATAATACACTACAGCACTGTATATAATACTGTATAATACACTATAGTACTGTATAATACACTATAGTACTGTATATAATACTGTATAATACACTATAGCACTGTATATAATACTGTATAATACACTATAGTACTGTATATAGTACTGTATAATACTGTATATAATACTGTATAATACACTAAAGTACTGTATATAATACTGTATAATACACTATAGTACTGTATATAATACTCTATAATACACTATAGTACTGTATATAATACTGTATAATACTGTATATAATACTGTATAATACACTATAGTACTGTATATAATACTGTATAATACACTATAATACTGTATATAATACTGTATAATACACTATAATACTGTATATAATACTGTATAATACACTATAGTACTGTATATAATATTGTATAATACACTATAATACTGTATATAATACTGTATAATACTGTATAATACACTATAATACTGTATATAATATTGTATAATACACTATAGTACTGTATATAATACTGTATAATACACTATAGTACTGTATATAATACTCTATAATACACTATAGTACTGTATATAATACTGTATAATACTGTATATAATACTGTATAATACACTATAGTACTGTATATAATACTGTATAATACACTATAATACTGTATATAATACTGTATAATACACTATAATACTGTATATAATACTGTATAATACACTATAGTACTGTATATAATATTGTATAATACACTATAGTACTGTATATAATACTGTATAATACTGTATAATACACTATAGTACTGTATATAATACTGTATAATACTGTATAATACACTATAGTACTGTATATAATACTGTATAATACTGTATAATACACTATAGTACTGTATATAATACTGTATAATACTGTATAATACACTATAGTACTGTATATAATACTCTATAATACACTATAATACTGTATAATACACTATAGTACTGTATATAATACTGTATAATACACTATAGTACTGTATATAATACTGTATAATATTGTATAATACACTATAGTACTGTATATAATACTGTATAATACACTATAATACTGTATAATACACTATAATACTGTATATAATACTCTATAATACACTATAGTACTGTATATAATACTGTATAATACTGTATATAATACTGTATATAATACTCTATAATACTGTATATAATACTCTATAATACTGTATATAATACTGTATAATACACTATAGTACTGTATATAATACTGTATAATACTGTATATAATACTGTATAATACACTATAGTACTGTATATAATACTGTATAATACACTATAATATGTATATAATACTCTATAATACCATAGTACTGTATATAATACTGTATAATACACTATAGTACTGTATATAATACTGTATAATACACTATAGTACTGTATATAATACTGTATAATACACTATAATACTGTATATAATACTCTATAATACACTATAGTACTGTATATAATACTGTATAATACTGTATATAATACTGTATAATACACTATAGTACTGTATATAATACTGTATAATACACTATAATACTGTATATAATACTGTATAATACACTATAGTACTGTATATAATACTGTATAATCACTATAATACTGTATATAATCGTATAATACACTATAGCACTGTATATAATACATAATACACATAAACGTATATAATACTGTATAATACACTATAGTACGTATATAGTACTGTATAATACTGTATATAATACTGTATAATACACTATAATACTGTATATAATACTGTATAATACACTATAGTACTGTATATAATACTCTATAATCTACTATTGAAGAATAAATAAATGTAATAATAACTCGTTGACCAGTCCGCCTCCTCCGGCCGCCGCTCTGCGCATGCTCAGCTGCGGTTCAGGGTGGGAGTTAGCCGCTAGCACTGTGAGCTAACAGCCGGAGTGTGTAATGGCGGCCTCGGTGTTGCTGGGGTCTGCGGACAACACCGGACTCAGCTTTACGGTGGGAGGCGGCGGTGGCGGCGGCACCGGGAATGTTTCAGTCGGGAATAATAACGGACTGGGGCCGGCGGGTCCGGCGCCCTGGAACCGCTCTTTGGACCGGGCTTTAGACGAAGCCTCGGCCACCGGGTGTCTGAACCTCAGCGGCAGGAAGCTGAAGGAGTTCCCCCGGAGCGCCGCCAACCACGACCTGACGGACACTACCAGGGCCGGTGAGTGAGCCCCGGAGCCGGCCACAGGGCACAGGGAGCCGGGGGGGGGGCAGTAAGAGTAACTCACAGACAGTGTGTGGGGTTTAATGCACTTTAGAGGAGGCGGGAAGCTAACAGTCCCGGCTCAGCCGCGGTGGGAAGGCTGGGATGGGACAGGCCGGTGTTGTGACAAACATCGTTACCCTTCACAACATGTTCCCCTGCAGCTAGCTAGCAGGTAGCAGCGCGGGAACAGCGGCCGGGAAACACGTTATATGTTGTTATATGTTGTTATATGTTGTTATATGTTGTTATATGTTGTTATATGTTGTTATATGTTGTTCAACGGTGGATTAACTGTCACTCATCCCTCTCCACATGTTCAGTTGATCACTGTAAGTCCAGATGTACCGTGGGCGGGGGGCACCAGGTGTGTGGGGTTACGCTCTGTGTCGGTACACCTGTATGATGTCGGTTGGTGTAGCTAGCTAGCATGCTAGCACTGGCAGAGCAGAGTGTTTGTATTGTTATTGATCAAGTTTCAAAAGTATGGAAGCCCGTTAGTACCAATGTAAAGGGAAAAGAGATTGTGAAAGTCATTATACTCGTCATTAACTCTCTAATGATTCACTTAATATCTTAAAATACTCAATAGTCAATATAATATTGATCACGTTTGTCATTATATTATAGAGATTATAATAACGGGCTTCCATACAATATACATATATAATAAATATTTAAATAGATGATACTGAAAATGTATCCTTTTAACAACTTTAACATACGTATGAACATTACACACAATTAAAATAACTTTAAACAAAAAACAATACGGATACAATGTGAGATTTCAAAATAAAAGGAGGTTTTAATGGTTAATGTTTTAGAGCAGTTGTAGACAGATAAAAGGATCAACAGGATGCATATTTAGGTTGATTCTTACATTGGATCCACATTAGTGTCCTAAAGGGGGAAATAACAATAACAATACAAACAATAACAGCAGAGGTCAGAAACTGAGTAAAATGATTCTGTATATAAAACAATAAATAATGTGTAAACAACAGTAAGTGTTGATCAGCTCACATAAGGAGTGAATGGAGCTGATGCTAATGAAGGCTGAGCTAACAGATATCACTGTTGTTTACACAACAACAACAACAACAACAGTTCTGACTCTTCACATGTTTATTATGGATACGATATCTAACAGTCTGACAGGGTTGTTACATAAAGATACAGTGTATACTGATCAATAATCAATAAAGATACAGTGTATACTGATCAATAATCCATAAAGATACAGTGTATACTGATCAATAATCAATAAAGATACAGTGTATACTGATCAATAATCCATAAAGATACAGTGTATTCTGATCAATAATCCATAAAGATACAGTGTATACTGATCAATAATCCATAAAGATACAGTGTATTCTGATCAATAATCCATAAAGATACAGTGTATTCTGATCAATAATCCATAAAGATACAGTGTATACTGATCAATAATCCATAAAGATACAGTGTATTCTGATCAATAATCCATAAAGATACAGTGTATTCTGATCAATAATCCATAAAGATACATTGTATTCTGATCAATAATCCATAAAGATACAGTGTATACTGATCAATATCATCCATAAAGTGGATCAATACACTGGAGTTAATCATGTGTGTGTGTGTGTGTGTGTGTGTGTGTGTGTGTGAGGGTATTTGAGTGTTTTTCAGTCGTTACCATAGTAACAGTTAGTTGCTGCTTCCTCCAGGTAACCTTTAACATCAGTGAGGTTCCTTTGATCCATCAGCATATTGATTATGTGTTATTGATCATGTATTGGTGATAGACAGTGGGAGCCTTAAGGCCCGGACACACCAACCAGATTGTCGGACGTCGTCGGGCGAGGTCGGTGACTCGAGTCGGTTCGGTGTGTCCCGTGCCGTCGTCAGTCGGCGTCGGCGTTCATTTGGTCGATTCAGTGGGCGTCGGCCTCAGTGACCAATCTGATTGGTGCAGTGCTCGCCCTGGACTAGCGAATCAGAGAGTGCGCGAGAAAACCAGAAGTGAGGATGGTAAACGTACTACACCAACGGCAGTATCCTGTTGTTATTAGCCATCGTATTCTCCGTTCAGCGAGCAATGACAACAACGATCCTTCCTGACGACCGTCAGCAGTCTCTGCTGGAAACAGTGACAGACGACAGCGTGCTCTGGGTGTACCACGTCTACAGCGATCCGCCGTCTCCGGTTCTCGTTGTCTTTGGGCAACAACACAGATCAGCTCCGCCCGCTGTTATGGGGACGTATTACACAGAGCGTACGCTCCAGTCGGAGACTCGGGGAGACTCGGGGAGACTCGGGGAGACCGGAGCCGACTGATCAGTCGGGTTGGTGTGTACGGGCCTTTAAACACACACACAGTTCACAGCAGCTGGTGGAAACACTAATCCATAAATACACTGCAGGACACTTCCTGTGTGTGTGTGTGTGGGAAGTAGATGTTACCATGGTGACGTGTACTTCCTGCCCAGGTGCTGCTCCACACACACACACACACACACACACACACACACACACACACAAAAAAAAAAAAAAAGTGTTGTACTGTACAGAGAGCAAACAGCTGATCAATGGAAGGAGAGATTGATTGACAGATGAACTGATGAAGAGAGGAGCGAGTCAGTGTCACCATGGTTACTGATGATGATCATCAATATTATTGATAGAGCAGTGTGATTGATCGGTATCAGTGCCAACTGCTGCCTGCAGGGGGCGCTCAGCTAGTGAGTGAGGGCACGGCTCTGTGTCATGGCGTCCTGTGTCACCATGACAACCACAGAGTGATCTGATTGGAGGAAGGTTGAGATACAGAGCGACTGGTTGTGTCTATTTATAGAGTCAGTCACAAGTTTCTCACACAGCACAACAACTGTACACACTATATACACACACTGTACACACACACACACACATGTACACACACACACACTGTACACACTATACACACACACTGTACACACACACACACTGTACACACTATATACACACACTGTCTCTGACTGTAACACACACACACTGTACACACACTGTACACACACTGTACACACACACACACTGTACACACACTGTCTCTACTTAACACACACACACAAACTGTACACACACTGTACACACTATATACACACACACTGTACACACACACACACTGTACACACTATATACACACACTGTACACACACACACACTGTACACACTATATACACACACTGTACACACTATATACACACACTGTACACACTATATACACACACTGTCTCTGACTGTAACACACACACACTGTACACACTCATACACACACTGTACACACACTGTACTACACACACACACACTGTACACACACAGTACACACACACACACACTGTACACACACAGTACACACATACACACACATACACACACTGTACACACACAGTACACACACTGTACACACACAGTACACACATACACACACTGTACACACATACACATACCGTTAAATGCAGGGTCCCTAATAGAAACCTGTTGGCCGGCTGTGGCTCCACATTTTGACAAATAACAGCAGGTCTCCAATAGAGGCCTGGTCTGTAGTATAAAACCTGTTTTATATTCTTTTCTTTGTGTGTGTGTGTGTGTGTGTGTGTGTGTGTGTGTGTGTGTGTGTGTGTGTGTGTGTGTGTGTGTGTGTGTGTGTGTTTACAGACCTGTCCAGGAACCGTCTCTCAGAGCTTCCTCTGGAGGTTTGTGTCTTTGTGTCTCTGGAGAGTCTCAACCTGTACCAGAACTGTCTGAGGTCTCTACCAGACAGTCTGCTCAACCTGCAGGCCCTCACCTACCTGAACCTCAGGTAACACACACACACACCTACCTGAACCTCAGGTAACACACACACACTCACCTACCTGAACCTCAGGTAACACACACACACACCTACCTGAACCTCAGGTAACACACACACACACCTACCGAACCTCAGGTAACACACACACACACCTACCGAACCTCAGGTAACACACACACCTCACCACCGAACCTCAGGTAACACACACACACTCACCTACCGAACCTCAGGTAACACACACACACTCACCTACCTGAACCTCAGGTAACACACACACACACCTACCTGAACCTCAGGTAACACACACACACACCTACCTGAACCTCAGGTAACACACACACACACACCTACCTGAACCTCAGGTAACACACACACACTCACCTACCTGAACCTCAGGTAACACACACACACACACACACACACACACACACACACACACAAACACATTGATCACTAACAGTATACAGACTGATATATTGACCTCTCTCTGTCTGTCTGTCTCCCTCCCTGTCTCTCTCTCTCTCGCTGTCTGTCTCCCTCCCTGTCTCTCTCTCTCTCTCTGTCTGTCTCTCTGTCTCTGTCTGTCTCCCTCCCTGTCTCTCTCTCTCTCTCTCGCTGTCTCTCTCTCTCTGCCTGTCTCCCTCCCTGTCTCTCCCTCCCTGTCTCTCTCTCTCTCTGTCTCTCTCTGTCTGTCTCCCTCCCTGTCTCTCTCTCTGTGTCTCTCTCTCTCTCTCTCTCTCTCTCCCTCTCTGTCTGTCTCTCTCTCTCTTTTCTCTCTCTCTGTCTCTCTCTGTCTGTCTCCCTCCCTGCCTTCCCCTCCCTGTCTCTCTCTCTCTCTCTCCCCCTGCTCTCTCTCTCTCTCTCTCTCTCGCTGTCCCCTGTCTCTCTCTCTGCCTGTCTCCCTCCCTGTCTCTCTCTCTCTGTCTCTGTCTCCCTCCCTGTCTGTCTCTCCCTCCCTGTCTCTCTCTCTCTGTCTCTCTCTGTCTGTCTCCCTCCCTGTCTCTCTCTCTGTCTCTCTCCCTCCCTGTCTCTCTCTCTCTCTGTCTGTCTGTCTGCAGTCGGAACCAGCTGTCTGTCCTCCCTGTGGTGGTCTGCAGTCTTCCTCTGAAGGTTTTGATCGCCTGCAACAACAAACTGGTTTCACTGCCAGAAGAGCTGGGACAGCTGAGACACCTTACTGAACTGGTACAACCATTATTATTGATCTGTTATTGATCTGTTATTGATCTGTGATCATCCTTACTGAACTGGTACAACCATTATTATTGATCTGTTATTGATCTGTTATTGATCTGTGATCATCCTTACTGAACTGGTACAACCATTATTATTGATCTGTTATTGATCTATGATCATCCTTACTGAACTGGTACAACCATTATTATTGATCTGTTATTGATCTGTGATCATCCTTACTGAACTGGTACAACCATTATTATTGATCTGTTATTGATCTGTTATTGATCTGTGATCATCCTTACTGAACTGGTACAACCATTATTATTGATCTGTTATTGATCTGTTATTGATCTGTGATCATCCTTACTGAACTGGTACAACCATTATTATTGATCTGTTATTGATCTGTGATCATCCTTACTGAACTGGTACAACCATTATTAGGGACCTTCCAGCGACCCCTAGAGCGTGAAATGTCCAAAAGCTACGTTTTCATGTTCCATCCACGTGCTTTTGTCCGATTTGCACAAAATTTTGCACGTAGCATCTGGAGACCGTCCTGGCAAAAAAAGTAATTTAAAGTATTTTGATATTTCAAAAAATAAGGAAGTTATAAAATTAGCACTTCCTGTTGAATTTTTCTTCAAAAAAAGAAGTTGGGCATTTCTCCACATTGGTATGTCCGATTGACACCAACCTTGGGTCCATAGTTCATTATGTCTTGATTAGGCATCGTGCACAATCTTGAACAATGTGAGGCCACCGCCACAAGGTGGCTCTCTTTCAAAGTCAAACGTTTATATCTCTGTGTCGGCAAGTGTGATTAAAACGAAACTTGGTAGGATGCTTGCCCATGGCTCCCTGAAGCTCCCCTAAAAGGGAAAAAAAATCACGCCACCGGGTGGCGCTCTGGTGGAAGATAATTAGCTGTGCGGAGACCGTAATAGTTATGAATATGAAATTCACAGGACACGTGTAGACTGGTGCCTGTAACTCACATACCAAAAATAGTGTTTGTCGTGGTTGTAGCGCCCCCTAAAGGATTTTTAAAAAGCAGCCCTGGCGCCATGTTTCGCCGATATGTATGAAACTCGGTAGGCATGTGTAACGTGCCGAGACGTACAAAAAAGCCTCTTGGACCCATATCCCAAAACCCACAGGAAGTCTGCCATTTCTTGGGCTTGTATTTGAATGAACTCCTCCCAGGGAATTTCTGGGATCTGCTTCAAAATTGGTCAGTACAGTCAACATATGGTGCTGAATGAACGCTGTTCAATTTGTGACTCTAAGTTGAAGAGCGTGTCCGTGGCGTGCCGTCAAAGTTGGCCATTTTGAACGAATGTAAAACTGTGATGTCATTTTTGGCATTTCAGGGCTTCTATTTTAACTAACTCCTCCTACAGGTTTTATCGGATCTACTTCAAAATTGGTCAGTGCAGTCAAAACATGTGTTCATTAACATTTGTGCAATTTGTGACTGTACGTTGAAGGGCGTGTCTGTAGCGTGACATCAAAGTTAGCCAGGATCAATCGAATGTCAAACTGTGATGCCATTTCCAGCAGTTTGCAGTGATTTTCAAATTCGATCACTGCAATCTCGACACATTGGTGATCATAAGTGAATCAAATATTTACTGTGCGTCAAACGGTGTGTCCGTGGCGTGGTGCTGAATTTCCACCTTTCGCAGTGAAGAGTCTGTCTATGGAAGCGTAAGTCTTTCTGAAACTTGTGACAATGTAGAGCGGTCTCCCTCAGCTTCCGGCGATGAAGGCTTGGGCATGGGGTGATGTGGCGTGGCGCCCGAGTTGCGTGGAGTGCGAGGTCCCGCCCAACGCTGCTTGCAGCTTTAATTATTGATCTGTTATTGATCTATTATTGATCTGTTATTGATCTGTGATCAGTCCCACTGACACTGATTAAAACTAAGGGTGCTTCGGCTGATCGATATTAGTTTGATCGGCACGATCAGAAGAGCTGATCAGCTGACACATTGATTTAATTCCACAGGAAGTTGTTACTGGAATTAGGATTTTATCATTTGACTGTACACTGTATGATTAGTTATTGATTATCAGTTATTGATGGTTGTGTGGATCGCCCCTGCAGGATGTGAGCTGTAATGAGATCCAGACTCTACCGTCTCAGGTGGGTCAGCTTGAGACTCTACGAGACCTGAACATCAGGAGGAACCACCTGGTCAGACTGCCTTCAGGTACACACACACACACACACACACACACGCACACACACACACACACACACACACACACACACTAAAGTACCTGTGTAACTTGAGTACCTGCGTGTGTGCGTGTGCGTGTGTACCCTCAGAGCTGGCCGACCTCCCTCTGGTGCGTCTGGATTTCTCGTGCAACAAGGTGACCTCCATCCCCGTCTGCTACCGACAGCTCACTCAGCTCCAGACCATCGTCCTTGACAACAACCCCCTGCAGACCCCACCTGCACAGGTACACACAGGAAGTGATATCATCAGGTAGAGGGCGGGCCGTGTGACTGTCAGCTGACTGTGTTTATCTGTGTGTGTAGATCTGTATTAAAGGGAAGATCCACATATTTAAGTACCTGAACCTGGAGGCCAGTAAGACCACCCCTGACCTCCCAGACTACGACAGACGACCTGCGACCTACGGCTCCTGGTCAGAACACACACACACACACACCCACCCTCTCCACATTATCACTGATCACACGTTTATTGATTAGAGAAATGAATTTGAATATTTCCAGCCGCTCTGATGTCCACACACAAACACATTAAACTCTGTATAGGACTAGCTTAACACGATAGCACAGCGTCACTGTGGACAGCTGCAACCTCAAATAATAATCTATATTTGTTATTGCTTTATCCATCACTCCTGAGCGTCACTGACCCTAACTGAAGACTTCCTGCTCATCCTTCACAATAAAAGCCCAGTCAGCCTCTTTAATAAGTGTGTCTGTGCTTGGTCAGTGCTGATGAGCTGTACCCTGGCCGCCCGTACGGAGCGCTGGACTCTGGTTTCAACAGTGTGGACAGCGGAGACAAGAGGTGGTCCGGGAACGAGGTCAGACACACACACACACACACACACACACACACACACAGAGCACGTCCTGTCCTCTGCTTCCTGTCTGTGTGTGAGCTCACTTCCTGTCTGTTTGTTCAGCCCACAGAGGAGCTGTCAGAGCTGCCGCTGAGAGTGGCCGAGATCAGCAGAGAGCACAGACAGAGAGCAGGAGGAGCAGGAGGAGCAGGAGGAGGTCTCATGACGAACGGCACACGTGAGTCCATCACTGTCTCACAGTCTGATCCAGATCCTGATGTGGTCCTGGTCTTAAAGCTGTTAGCTGCGTTCAGAGAGAACCATTTATTATTGAAAGACACCGTTCTCGTCCGTCTGTTCACCAGATGTGGAGCTGGAGCAGATAGACTTCATAGACAGCTGTGTGGGGGAGGAAGAGGAGGAGGAGGGGAGGAGTCGAGGGCAAGGAGGAGGAGGAGGAGGAGGAGGGGACAGTATCAGCCTGAGTTCTCAGTTCATGGCCTACATCGAGCGACGCATCACCAGAGAGGTAGGAGCTCTGCCCAGTGAGAATCAATCACTATTGATTATCAATCACTATTGATTATCAGTGTGTGTGAATCAATCGTTTGACTTCCTGTTTGTGTGTCCAGGGTTCTCCAGTAAAGACCAACTCCAGCAGGACAGAGGACACGAGGAGACACAACAGGTACGGACACAGAAATGACCACAGTTACCCCCAATATGTAAACACTGGTTGCCATAGTAACACATCACGCTTCTTGTCACATGAGTTCTTCATTCACACAGAACCTGTCTGTCTGTCTGTCTGTCTGTCTGTCTGTAGGAGTGTGGTTGATGGTGTCAC